AGAGACGGATACCTCGGGAGATGGAGTAGGTCGAGAATGAGAGGAGTCTGTGACATAGAACTCGCCATTGGAGTATAGCGCAGAGATAGCATGCACCAATGGGCATGGGAGACCCATGCGGACAAGGCAGTGAGATGGTCATGGCTGATGCAGTCGAAGGGCTGAGACCAATCTAAAAACAAAACATAGAGAGAGGTTGCGTGCCTCTCAAACAGTTCGACCATACGGCGAATGAGAAAAAGCGGGGTGGCAGTGGAACGTTTTTTACGAAAGCCATATTGAAACTCACTGATTTGCGAATCGAAGTACTTCGCAAGGCGGGCTTGCAATAGGGCAGCGTACAACTTGTAGATGGCGTTGGCAAGGCTGATGGGGCGGTAAGAGGGGCTGTCGACTATTCTTGGTAATCTCCCGCGTGTTTCCAACGCCATCCGCTAATCTCCTTCCACTTCCATAGCTTGCTGAGCACGCTAGCTTGCAACCTACTGAACCGGACAATTAAGTCCTCACCCTTCTGGGAAGCAAGGCCAAACTTCTTGACCACTGGCTCCACAGCTGGCCCGGTCTCCGGTTCCCCGCTCTCGGCCAGGTCATCACGCTGAACAACGTACGCTGAAGCACTCTTTCCAGCCTGTCGCACAGCCCGGTAATCCGGGAAAGGACTGCGCATTGCAGCCACGACAACATCCAGCTTGAGCCCTCCTTCGGTCTTCGCGGTCACAATACCTCGTTGATCTGGAGTGAGCCCTGCGGAATTTTGATGAATTTAAGCACGCTCATCCACGAGCCTCTGATGGGAAGTCAATAATCGCAACCCTTCTCCGGCACTTTGCAAAGGATTCCTGCACCCTTGCACACCATGCAGCCATGCTTTCGCCGTCCTGAGCCTGCAATTCGATTATTTTCGTCAAGCATTCGGCCATCTGGCCATGGGCCATTTTGTCAGGAAACCTCTCATCAAATGCAGCCCAAGGGTGTATGTCACCATTGATGATCCAATGACAAGTGCTCAACAGGCTCTAAGGCCAGCCCGTCCAACAAGCAAAACACAAACGGCCCTCGATGCGTGGCCTGCATGTGCTCTGTTAAGGCCATTCGAGCCTCGGCCTCCGCCCATAGCTTCCATCTACTGTATTCTTTCGGGTCCAACCTTTCGCCACTAAAGCGTCTCTGCTTGCCACCGAAATCAGATGACGATGAATTTAGACACTGCTTTTGAACCTCCAACCCTTCCTAAAGTTGCCTACCCCGAATGCCCCAACTTTTAGCTGGGGCTCCGCTACCAATGCGCAAACAGGGGGCGTCAACCCCTTCACAAACCCAGGACCCCTGCCCGACCCGAACGGCCGCTTCGACCTTTGTTCGCCTGAACTGAAGGTGCCTGTCGCAGATGTA